CGCCACTCCTCACACACCACTCATCACACACCACTCATCACACACCACTCCTCACACACCACTCATCACACACCACTCATCTTACACCACTCACCGCACACCACTCTTCCTACACCACTCATTCCACACCACTCAACACACACTACTCATCACACACCACTCATCTCAGACCACTCATCTCAGACCACTCATCCCACACCACTCATCATACACCACTCATCATGCACCACTCATCCACTCATCTCACACCACTCCTCACACTCCACTCATCCACTCATCACACACCACTCATCTTACACCATTCATGACACACCACTCATCACACACCACCCATCACACACCACTCATCTTACACCACTCATCACACACCACTCTTCTTACACCATCATTACACACCACTCATCTTTCACCACTCATCACACACCACTCATCACACACCGCTCATCTTACACCACTCATCACACACCACTCATCTTTCACCACTCATCACACACCTCTCATCACACACCACTCATCACACACCATTCGTCACACACCACTCATCACACACCAGTCATCTCATTCACTTTTATCGCCCAGTATCTTTCCGTCCTCTTTTCGTATCAGTCTCTACTTCTCGTTGATAGTTCTTACAAGCTTAACGTGTGGGGATATCCGGTCCTTTTAATAGTGGACATTCACAGTATTCCTCCTTTGCACGTCACAGCATGTTAGTGCAATTTTCCAACTGATTGCTTTTTGTGCGATTGAAGTGACTTGATTGCGATCTCTCCGCAGCCCTTTATATTGCTGAGCCTTCTTGAGACCTCGCCATAATAAGCCACATCGACATATGGCGCTTCCACCTATCGACGCAGACTGGGCCGCAGCCAGGCCAGACACTCCGGCATACTCCGGCCCACATCCTCCCCAACCACCCTCCACCAGCTGTCCAGTACGGAGTCCAGAACTCCTATGGCTACACTGGGCTCCTGTCATGGATCACTCCAGCTTCACCCGACAGCCGATCTCCCAAGCAGACTATGTTGCTCGCAGCCGGATTCACACACCTCACCGTCCACCGTCCAGTTCAAGCTCAGACGAACTTTGTATCGCTGCCACCAACACTAAGCCACCACCAAAACAACGACCAGATCGACCCAGGCCACCACAGATCTGGCTACATTATGAACACATGCCGGCAGTGAAGTTTCGAGCGCCTCAACCACAACTCTCTCTTCGACCAGCTTCCGTGATCACTCCCCAAGGAGATACTCGTCATGCGCCAGCCTGCCTGGCCAGATCCAAATATCCACCACAAGCCGCTCCACCGGCTGCACCTCCAACGCTAAAGTTTATATGCTCACAGACAGCGCAGCTGCAACAGTTTGCCACAGACATACCGAACTGAGCAACCAAAAGGTTGGGAAAGAAAAAGTATTTCCACAACAGCTGTGCAAAAAGAACTGCGGGGCAAATCGGGGCGCGCGTGTGGAAGCAGCCCAGATGCGGCAGATGCGGAGCCGACGGTTCATATGTCCAAAAAACTTGCTGCGGGCACATCTTCCTTTCACGCCGCCAACGATGACCTCGTTGGCTGCTTCAACTCAGTGCCACAAGACATACTCATCGATGCAGTCCACAGCCTCACTGCCAAATGGAACATCACATTCGACACACCCACCCTCACCATTCACATCCAAGCAACCGGCAACCCCATTCAGCTCTCACACATTGGACAGCATCACCGCCGGCATCCCACTCAACACACGGTCGACACCAACGACATCCCCCCACATTGTGCGCATAGCGCTGGATACATGCATTTTCCAAGCTTGCACCACCTTTTACAAACAAAGCCGCGGGGCTGGTATTGGCTCCCAACCTCACTAGCTTTGTGCAATGTCGCCATTACACTCATTGAACATTCATGGACCCAGCTCCACCACAGCCACACCGACCACAGTCAGATCCACTTTGCGTACTACAGGTACGTGGACAAGACTTTCCCACACCACATTGGCATACAAACCTTGATCCACCCTGACTTCTTCGGCAACCCCATTGAGCTTGAACCCGTCAAGGATGTGACGTCCTAGGCTTCGACGTGGATCTTAGCCACCGCACGCTAGCTCAATTAGCTCAGCTATATTCCGAATATATTCCCAACACAGGCACGACTGGTCAGCAGAAAAAAACGGAAGCAGTGCTGGTTGTACCAATCTTGAGACACTTCCTTTCTGTTGTTGTGTTGGCCACATGGTTGCATGACTTGAAGGCTTCTCCAGTCATGTGGAACGCTTGTCTGCACTTGAAAGACCTTTTTCAACCTTCATTTCAGTGTGCGCCGGTTTCGGTTTTGTGTGTGTGTGTGTCACCAGTGTCACCTCCTGTTTCGAAGGAGAATGACCGCATCCTTCTCATTACAGTTAGCTCTTTTAATTAACATAGGCACCTCGTGTACAGCAAGCAGGGGCAGAAGGATCTCCAGTTCTAGCCTCTGCCAACGAAGCTCTACACTGGAAGATCAGGTAAACGTACCTGCTGTGGGGCACCTGGGCGCATTATAAGATGCAGCTGGTGACCACTTCCACATCTTAATTCACTGGCAAAGTGCTAACCAGTCCTTGTTGAAACCTTCTGTTGAGCCGACCCAGCACTCGTGCCGTTCTTCAAGTCAAGGTTTAGCTTTCAGTAAGCAATATCTATCTATAGTAATGCTATCTCAATATGCTCCGCAGCGCGTTCCATAGAAGGAACCGCATCACTATGCTTTCGGGGAAAAAGAACTCCACAGGTACCTCATTACCCACTCAGCACATTGCGCTTTAATGTGCGTTGCTGTGCGAGGTGGTCGGGAAAATGCATGCTAGGGTATGCAGCAGCAATCTTAAAGCCTGCAATGTTGATATTATATATTGGTCGTAAGTAACATAATTAAATTGACTTAACCAGCTGCGTTGACTTTCTTTGGTCGTCCTGGTGACTTATTCCTACCTTGGCATATAGTCTCAGTATTTGATCAACTTGCTCTCATTGTACAGCTGCGCAATGTTGCACCTTCTGGCAACGTGACAGCCGCTCCAGCAGCTGCTTTTCGGCGTCTTGCGTGCGTTTGTGCTCCTGCTCCAAGGCCTACAATCACAAGGCCAGTACAGGACACACTACAGACAAACCGCAACTGGATGTGAAACAAAGCTCTGCAAATGATAGTCAAACAAACAATACACTGCGCACATCTACAGTAGTGAAGACTACATATAATATATATATAAATAGCTAGTTCTAGTGGTACCTCCAGCTCAGGGCAACTTAAGATAGAAGGGCTGTTGTTGTCCTGTATTGCCCTGGTCGGAGGCACTTACAGACTCCAATAATCTTCTATGTATTTCTTGGTGCACAAACTTGCTTTCTGCCTCCAGCTTCTGGGTCAACTGAAGCTTTTCTTGCTCTGCTCTGGCCTCGGTGGCAGAACCTGTATAACTCCTTTCTTTTGTATTCGGGAAACCACATTTGCTCGCCCCACCACTGCACAAAGAGCCATTGCTCGAGTCCAAATTCGCTGAGGTCTTTGCAATGGCTTCGTCGTGTTTTTTGTTCTCCAGTGCTGCCTCGCATCGTAAACAGCACCAGTATATAGATGGCAACTAGGCATTCTCCCGTGACAAACATGCACCAGCGGCTTTCCAGTGTGGAAGTGAGCTAACAAAGGGTTCTTCAATGGTGCCTTGTGCGCTTGTCCTTCTTGAGGGTTCTTTAACTGCGCTTCCAGCTCTCGCACGCGCTGCTGGAGCTCCTCCAGGTTTCGCAGCACATTTTTGTGGAATGAAGCGCTGGAACTGATTTCGATGCCAGGTTTTAAATGCATTTAAATGCTACACTCATTTTTGCAGGAGTTGGTCATGACAAATGTAATTCAAATATCTTTCTTCAGATCTTCACATCAATCCAATCATGCCTCTACTTACAGACCAGCTTCCCCACCTGGCCGCGGCTTTGTGCCACTTGTGTCGCAGCAGAGGAGGCAGTCAGCGCTCCACTTTCCTGCACCATGGTGGCGCTGGCAAGGCCCAGCTCCTGAGACTAGCAAATTCGGATGACAGGTGAATGAAAACAATGTATAATATATATATATATACATCAAACACTTGTGAGCAAAGGGCAGTGACGTTCATTTCCCAAGGTGAACCTAGTTGCAAATGGGTTAAGACTGCTGGGGAGGGGGTAGTCGGGCAGTACCCCAAAAAGGAATTCACTTTCGGCCCTACCTGCTCCAGTGATCGCTTGCGAGATTCGCATTCATCGAGCTTAGCTTGCAGCTTCTTCAGAGACCTCATTTCAGCAAATTTCATTTCAGTTCTTTCACATCTCCAGATTATGGCAGCCCCTCCTACAAGCAAGCACCAAAATATCCGTATCCGTATCCACCCAAGCTGTCACAAGACAACAGTGGTGAAACAGAATCAATCTGCACCAAACGGCCTTTCTGACTTCCCAGCATCCTTTGCCTGCGGCCCCATCTGCTCATTGCTTTCAGTGAGCTGCTGGGCTTGCGCCTAGAAAGAAACTGAAGCAACCCACACTGAAGCGTTCACTCCAAATTATGGCAAGTGTGATAGCAGCATATGAGGTCACCGTTGTACTTCTTTCCAGAAAAAGGTCTTCTGACAACATTCCATCCCTGCCAGAGCTGCTCTTGAGTTGTCTCTATTTTGTGTCTTGATCACATGAGTGGCGGACAAAACTTCTCCGTTTCCCCAATGCCGAAAGTATTGCGGGTTGGCCCCTATCGGTTTCCAGCGTTTTGGAATGAAAGTGAAGGGGTACGTTCAATCAAGGAATGGTATCGGGGTTGCCCCTGTTGGTCTTGCAAGGTGTTGATCAGTTTTTCAAACACTCAAGGCAGCTCATGACTAGAGTACATGTATGGAAGCTTTGTTGGATGATGACATCATCTTCACTGCTTCGAGCATCCTTTTGCCCTTAACCCGCTCCTCCAAGGCTTTGCACCGTTTCGAAAGCACATCCAGTGTGATTTCTTGAAGCTCTTTGCTCAATTCCTCCGAAGCCGAAGGGGAAGGTAACTTTCCATCTTTTGCACGTTGGAGCAATTCCTCGTTGCCTTCCGCCTCTGCTGTGCGCCTCCTTAGTGTGGCTTGAAGCTCCAAGACCTTGCTCTTCAAGGTCTCGATGCGAGCTGCGGCCTCCGGATCTACACCCTCCTCGCGTTCACTCCAATTCAAGATCTTCAAGCTACAACAGAAACTAGATTCTACAAGAAAACTTCTGGCGTTCAGCTCCATCACATCTCCTGGCACATCCTTCCCTCCACTTCCCACCCCTCCTTCTCACGCTTCTTGTCTTTTTTCTCCTTCTTCAGCGAAAACACCTCCATCGGCTTGGCCAAGGGCCCACCACTCACCAGCGCACCAGCTCCAAGACCCCGTGAGGCCTTCCCTGGACCCCTGGTGAGGGAAGAAGCTTCCTTGACCTTCATGATAAGAAATCGGCTCAGGACGTAACCGTTGAGATGAGCGCAGGCCATCAGCTTGTATTGAATCTTTCTCCGGTAGAATTCCCCTTCAGACATAATCGGCATTGATCCAACTCCATGCTGCGATACCAGATGCTGCAATCCCAAAAGCCAAGCATGAATTTGAAGGTCTCCAGCTACAGCAAGATCCAAGGTTCGGCCAGTAAAAAGCAGACTGAAACAGGCCCAGTCTGGGTCTTCCCGATGATCACAACGTTGAAACGTGGTGGTCATCGGTCCTGTCGGGCCGAATGAATGTGCAGCATGGCTGTCTCTCCTTTTGGCTCGAAAAGTTTTTAAAGCAGGAAGAAAAAATCAACAAACCAATCAAAACCGTTTGACGGAATCCAACCCAACGAGTTCAGAAATCCCTGCAATTCATGCATTGCCTCATGAACCAAGTTGCCGTAAACGATTCCCAGGCATTCTTTGAGATTCACATTCTGACTATCTGTATCAGTTTTGGCACGACCCCAGCGCAGCTCATCTTTCTGCACCCAAAAGAAGCGCCGGGAGCGCTTGGAATTGCCTACGCACTGCAAAATGTTCGTAACTTGGGACTTCTGTTTCTGCAAGAAGGGCAACTTGTGTAGTCTTCTTGCAGATTCAGATGAACACAGGACAATGTTCCAAGTTGATGCGTCTGAGACGCTGTAGTTGTACTTGTGCATTGTGGAGCCGCTATTGATCTGCTCCAGCAAGGCCCGCGTCTTAATTTCTGCTGCTTTCATCGAGGCCTGAGGTCACAACACGCATATGTTGATGTGCATATATATATATATGTTAATATATATATATATGTGACAGAAGTGAAGTGGCTTCCTGACGCGCAGTCATGCCCCAAAGAGACTGTGCAAGGCCAATCAAGGCCAAGCAGCTCGAAGGGCATCATGCCAAGCTTCCGCCTCTGACTCTGATCCAGCAGAGAACAAGTACCTCGACTGCTTGGCCAACGTAACGCCAAACAAAGAAACTCAACAAGCTGAAAGGTCCAACTGATCTTCAAGTGGGAATTCTGATCCAAACAGCGGCATCTCATGGAAACCAAGGTACTCCTGTGCATGTGGCACGCGGCATCTAATCCTTGCAGGCATTTTGATGGACTTCTTGGCATGCAAGTTAGCAAGTTAGTCTATCACTATATCACTATGATCGATACAATGCAGGTCACACTAGTAGGAAGCCGACAGACAAATATGTTCCAGATTAAATCATGTGGCATGGCCCAGTGTCATTGTCACCCTGCATACCACGTGTACAGTTCCTTGCCTCGGTCAGACCTGATAAATCCGCCTTCAAACCGCAACGAACAAATTGTGCATTCAAACAAATACGTCCTGTGGTAGATTTTGCAAGGGTGCGGCACATAGACACACCGAACGAGGAAGTTTCTGTCACTTATGCAATGTCCTCGTACTCGTAAAAACACTTGTGTTGTCTTGGCTTGTCCTCACTTGGTCTTAGCCCTTCCACATGGAGCCGAGTTTCTGCAGCTTGCTGTTAGCAAGAAGCGCCACTTCAGTGCCCACTGCAAATATGTACAACACAGCAAGATCTGATTCTTTTGGGCCACTGCGAATTCGCAGGACACCAGCCCTGAGAACTATGTATTCTTTGCCTTAGGTGCAAAAGCTGCTGAACTCGAGAAGGAAGTACATCCCCCAATCAGTGCTGCAACGACTGGGGCTCAAACACTTGCTGTATACATTAAAGAGATAGCCACTGTGATCCAAAACGGATCCAGGTTTTTTGATGCCATTTGTGGCCATTGCAGGGCACAATTGGCAAAAAATGTGTAAAGTTAATTGTTCGCATTATATGTGTGCGTGCTTGAATCTCAGTGAAAACAAATGCCAATGATGCAATTTGGAAAGTTGAAGGAGATGGAAAACAATCAATAAAACAGAAAAAATACAAAGAGTCCCTCATACTTGTTGTTGTGGCCATGACTCCATAGCTGTAGGTCCAAAAGCTTCTAATGTGGCGACACGAACTACATGTGACCAAGAGTTGTTCAAGACTCGTGCTTTAAAGTCTTTCTCGAAGCAAACACCTCTTCATCTTAAAAACACCGGTCCACTCTCAATCTGAAGCTGGGAGTGGTGCCAGGTGAGAATGGAAATCTCCAAAAGACACACACCTCTTGCGCATCAGGGGAGGGATAGCAAGATGGAGATTGGGAGGTGTGCAAAATGCAGTTCACTCTCCATGGCCTTTCAGAGTTGTGTATCAATATACATTTTATATATACATTATATATGTATATATTTGCTTTGCTGCAATGAGGGAGAGTGTGCTATTGTTCCATCAGCTTGAAGAGCAGGCCACAGTCCCAAACCAGTGGTTGGTGGCCTTGGTGGCTTTGTCGCCGAAATCGGCTGAGATTGAGAGATCTATAGCACTTGTGGCAACCATGTACAGGTTGTGGTGCAGACTTCGGAGCAACTACACCAAGGAGTGGCAAAACCAGCTTGAAGATGAATTCCCTTGGGAGCGGGCCATCCCTGGCACGGAATGTTTGCAGGTGGCACTGAAAAGAGCTTTGTCACGGAGCACAACCATGCAATGAAGAAGACAGTCATCTCTGTACTGCTGGACATGTCGAATTTCTATGGCCGCATCAATTTGCAGAAGCTTGCAGAGCGCTGGTTGATGTCCAACTATCCAGCTACCCACGCGGCCTTTGCCATGCAGATCTACTGTGGGACAAGAATCCTTGAAGCGGAAGGAGAAGCATGTAAACCCATGTGGACGGCAAATGGCATCTTGGCTGGAGATCCTCAAGCTCCGCTGGCTGCAAAGATCTACCTCCAGAAGGCTTTGAAGGCATTCTGCAAGAAATATCCGCAGCTGCACACGGATCTCTGGATCGACGACCTCAGTTTCGATGTCATAGACGGGACCCGGCCAACGCCTAAGAACACAAAACCTGCGTCGTGGCCCGCGCGATGCGACGACAAAACCGAGAAAACCGAGAAAACTGAGAAAACCAGAAAACCGAGAAAACCGAGAAAACCGTTTTCGCGTTTTCCCGTGTGGAAGCTTTTTCCAGTTTGCTTACGTCTTCTTGCTTGTCTTGCCTTTGAGCGTGAAAACCACAACCAAGAAAACCGGCAAAACGAGAAAACCAAGAAAACGGTTTTCGTCGTTCTCGCCGTTTTCCCGTTTTCGCCGTTTTCGCGTTTTCGCCGTTTTCGCCGTTTTCGCGTTTTCGCCGTTTTCGCCGTTTTCGCGTTTTCGCCGTTTTCGCGTTTTCGCCGTTTTCGCGTTTTCGCCGTTTTCGCCGCTTTCGTCGCTTTCGCCGTTTTCGCCCGTTTGCGCTTTTTTTCGTTTTCGCCATTTTCGTAGTTTTCGCCGTTTGTGTCGGCTTCGCGCAGTCGTTGTTTTCTTGGTCTTCGCCACTTTCGAGGGTTTTCACTTATGCTCCTTAGTTGTGCACTAAATCTCAACGGTTGAAGTTTAAGTTCAATTCACGAATCTTAGTCAGTGAATCAGAATGATCTTAATCTCCAATCCAAAAGGAATATCACCTCATCACAGGCACTACGCATGAACGACCAGATAACGTGACCAAGTCTATCCAGAGGGTACCCAGGGATGAAAGAAAAACAAGAATCAGACGACGTCCATTCCTCTCCATCAAACTGAAGAGCCGTGGTATGCCTCATGGCTCTCCTTGCGCGGAATCGACGAGCTCTTGCGACGCAAGGACAGATTGGAAACCAAGGGCTTGCGATGGACTCTAAGTTAGTTCGTGCGCGAAATGCAGGCGCGAGTGCGATTTGACCTGGTCCGGGACAACCCTCTGCGGAGATCGTGCGTGTCGAATGCGCGAAATGCAGGCGAGAGTGCGATTTGTCCCAGTCCGGGACAACCCTCTGCGGAGATCGTGCGTGTCGAGTGCGCGAAATGCAGGTGAGAGTGCGATTTGTGTTTGTCCGGCGCAACCCTCTGCAGGACTGTGGACTTTGTAGTACAACTTCAGTGCGTGGAGCAATCTGTGGAGCTGAGAACTGGCGACTTTCGAGTAGAACTTCAGTACGCGGAGTATCGCAGGAGCTGGAAGCTGAGAGCTGGAAGATGCGAACTGGCGACTTTGTATTTCCTTTTTTTTGTACGCGGAGCAATCTGTGGAGTCTTAAGCTGAGAACTGGCGACATTGTAGTACAACTTTAGTACGCGGAGTATCTGGGGAGCTGGAAAATGAGAACTGGCGACTTTGTAGTGCAACTTTAGTACGCGGAGTATCTGGGGAGCTAGAAGATGAGAACTGGCGACTTTGTAGTACAACTTTAGTACGCGGAGCAAGCTGTGACGCGGAGTATCTGGGGAGCTGGAAGCTGAGAACTGGCGACTTTGTAGTACAACTTTAGTACGCGAATGAGTCATCTCTCGCGGCTGAGTCATCTCTGGCGCCACCCGGCTCTCTTGAGAGGTTGACAAATTTTAGCTACTTTGCTTACTCATAAGTGGCTGCCACAAAAGAGTCATCGTGACGTTAGTATGTGTGTACTTCACACCTTCATGACAAACGATGTTCGCTTGGAATACACGAGTCGCTTGTCATGATCGTCACGTCGTTTACTCTCAGGTCGCCCTGCTCGTGGAAACTTCAGTGTGAAATGTACGTTCTTCAGTTCTATTTGAACCTCTTCAGCATTGTACTTGCACAGCTAAGGTTGACGTTGCGCAGCCGTTGCATCGACGCATCTACGTCATACACCCCCTCACCTCTCTACATATACACCGTCACACGCTCACATCCGCAGATCTACCTCTCCACCGCACCACACCCACACATCTGCACATCTATATCACATCTGTACATCCACACTGTCGCTCCTTCACATCTGTCCTGTCTTTCTTTCTTTCTTTCTACATATCTTTTCTCTCGTCTCTGTGCATTTACATCTTTGCACGCTCACATCCACAGATCTACCTCCACCTCCATACATCTACAGAATCTATATTGCACCTGCGCATCCACACTATCACTCCTTCACATCCACCCTCTCTTTCTCTCTTTCTATACATCTTTTCGACAGTGCTGGACAATTACATGTCTCGCTCTCGGGCCAACCGTCGTCTAGTTCTCAGTTTAACGTTTTCAACACTCTCCTTTTTGCGTGCTACTGAGGCTTATTATCAAAGGAACAAAGTCCTATTCTGCAACTCTCCAGTCTTCTGAAACTGGTCTTTTGCAAATACTTGGCACTCTTCCCCAACTACTCGCCGTTTTCCCGTTTTCGCCGTTTTCGCGTTTTCGCCGTTTTCGCGTTTTCGCCGTTTTCGCGCCGATGCGGTGTTCTAGAAAACCGTGAGCTGTCAAATCCAAGCACTTTGTTTCCGCCGTTTTCCCGTTTTCGCGTTTTCGCGGTTTTCGCGTTTTCGCGTGGCCTGCCCCCGCATCACCGGGGGCCGAGACACACGTTTCGTATGCACAGGCCAACGCTGGCCATCCAACCATACCACTACATCAAAGAGCTTCTCGAGGAGGACAACTTGCAGCTGTCAACCAAGAAGACCGGCTTCATTGCCTCAAATGTTGAGGCCAAGAGGATGCTCCAAGCCCAACTTCCCCAAGGTGGGCCAGTTGTTCGCGATGTCATGAGGGACCTTGGAGTGGATTGCACAGCAGGGAGGCTTCGGAGAATCATGACCATGAAGAACCGGAGAAAGAAGGCTGGATGCAAGACAAGGAAGCTCCATTACTTTGAAGATACCACAAAGGGCAGTGAGATTGAAGCTTTACAAAGGGGGCGGCATCAGCTGGGGACACCAGGCAATGGGCCTGGCACCACAAACCAGGCTCCGCATCAACTCAACAATGGCTCGGCAGATGGGCTTGCAGCGCACCGGAAACATGGACATCATCTATGACATGCAGCCCAAACATAAAGACCCGGACTATGAAGCATTTGTGAGCCAGGTGAAAATATATAGGCAGATTTTTTGCAATTGGCCTGAACACCTTCATCGAGACCTGAAGAAAGCTTGGCAAGTCCACAGAGAGCGTTCCACCGGGCCAAGCACCAATGGCAAGTGGCCAGAGGTCCTGTAGCTGCACTCATTTGTTACCTTCATGGTGGACGCTTCCTGGTCACAAAGATGAAGACGACTTCCAGTTGAACATGCATCCCTCTTGGTACTTCATCAAGGAAGAGCTGTACCGGGCCCAGATCAGAGAAAGAATCACTCATTTGCAGAGGCGCGCAATGCTACATGACATACAACAGCCGCTGGATTGGGTGCCATGGAGGAGATTCGCCAAGCAGGCCAACAACAGGGTCCAAACAGCCCTGCAGGCATGGCATCAAGGTGCATTGTTCACCAAGTCGTCAGAAGGCACTGAAGCGGGTCACCTGCACTGCCCACACTGCAACCTGCAACCAACCAGCCACGGCAACACACCTGATATGGCTATGCAAAGAGGCCAATGCACATTGCCCACCACTGGCAGCAGAAGACCAAACAGAACTCGAGCAGGGCATCAACCTTGAATTCTGGGCAGACTCCAGTTCTTCGAATCTCTACAGGAGGAGCAGCCGCGCAAGCCTGGGGATCCTCGACGGCTCTTGATGAGCTCACCATTCGAGCCAATGATGCTGTGACCATCGGCATTGCCACGACAAGCGCAGATCCTCGAGTACGCCACTATGTGGTCACTTTGGTACATCATACCATCTTTGCCGGAGAGATGTAGCGGATGGGGGCCATTGCCACAGTCCTGCACCGGGGAAGCAATCGCAAGAGCGAGCATGGTACTATGGGCTTCGAATAGTGGCACACTATGTGGACCTGAACACCCCGGTGAGGATCCACGCGCTTTCAGTGCGGGCCTGGCAAGCATGGGTGCATGGCAAGCACCAGGACACGTTCTTCGACCTCAGCCAACTGGTTTCATGGGACCAACGGCAAAGAGTGCGCGCATTGAGCGTGACCACAAAGCAGGTGAAAAGCATGCCTTCCACTGGGCTGTCCCTCAAAAGCCGCTACAAAGATGCCAACAAGGCTGCCATGGAAATGGCCATCTCCAAAAGGCCAACCGAACAGGAACAATAACAAGGCTGCGAGCACAAGACAGGAAGTACAACAGGGTTGCACCAATAGCGGCACAACGGATCAGGTTCTTGATCGACAGTCCAGGCCACTTCATCCATGGCCAGAAGGCCACAGGCAAAGAGCTTCGGCAAAAGAACAGGGAAGAGAAATCAGCGTCACAGGCAAAGAAGGAGGGCATCAATGGACGCCAAAGGGCAATGGCATGCAATGCCAACTATGCCAACGCAGGATTCGTAACGTGCAATTTTAGCTGTATGCTGAAACGTCAAATTTTCAGGGATCAGGTGTGATTTGAGCACTATTCCCCCATCGCCCCTCCCAGTGCCCCTGGACATTCCTGGAACACCTGAATATTAAAGGGCCTGAAGACTTCCCACCAGCAGAATCCCATGTGGACAGGCAACCTGCCCCTGCTGCAAACTCAGTTCGAAATGATAGCAGTAAGTGGTTGCTCATATTGTATTAGTAATATCTATTTTAATTTGTTCTATTAATGTTGTCCCTGGACAACAGAAAGCACCCATAGCAAAATTGCAAAATTGTGATTTGGACTTGGGCTTTACTCAAAAGGAACAGGACCAAAAAGAATAGACGCTTATTGACAATATGTCCATTGTCAATGTCACTGTCCAACAAACAAGTTGTGACCTTTACATGTCCATCTTTCTTTGAGATTTATGGAGAGCAGGACTTCGAAATTCTGCTCAGAATTGTTAGAATTGCTAAACGCCTTTTTTTCCATCTTCAGCCTGAGCTGATCGTTGGTTGGTCTATCGATCTGCTGGCGTTTTTGCTTCTGCCACATGATCCTGAGGCACTGTGCTTGATTTGAGCACGCTGCAGCAGCAAAACCCAAAAGCTGTCTGAGCCCCGCTTCAAATCTGAGCCTCATTTACATTTGAACCTAGCTTCGAAGCCGCCTTGAGACCTGCCTACCTACAGTAACATTTTGCCTCCGGCCCTGCTGGCCGCTACCTAAAAGCCTCAGCACCTAACAGTGATGGTCAGTTAGAGCAGTGAGGCTGATGGTTTCTATTCGTTTGGTGTTTGTTTTTTGTAATCAATTTATGGACAGTGGACAAGTTGAACCAAAGATGGGAACACCTGGCAACACGGCAACAGTCAAATACAATCATACAATCATATCATATCAAACAGGATCACACACACGAAAGGTGATAAAAACAAAACCGGAAACCATCCTTTGTTCTCACCTGCTCTAGAAGAAAACTTCGGACCATCTGGAACGAAAAAGGGCTCTCTCAGGCTCTCGTTGCCCCCCATTCACTTTAGCACATGCTTGCCCAACTTCATCACATTCTCGGCTGCCACTGTAGCTGCTGAATCCCCGGTTTTCTTCTTCTTGGCTTGCAGGATTCCATCTCTGTTCATTGTCTGAACAGCTGCTGCTGCACCCACCTTTCCTGGTACAGGATCATTGGACTCTGTCTCTGCCAGCAGCTTTGCTTGGTTCTTCTGCAGCTGCTCCTTTTCCTTCAGAACACTTTGCATCAGCAAAGCTCTGGTTGAGTTTTGCGTCCGTTCACCATCAGATGAGAGCCTGTTGATTGGGATGCTTGTTGCCGCTTTGCACTGCTCAACTGCTTCCACCACCAACTTCTCAATCTTCTCCTCATCTTCTTGTACCTTCTTCTCCATGTCCTTCACCATCTCCTCAATGCCGGCTCCATTGCCAGGTTTGGTATTTTCCTGCTGCTCATTGTCTGCATCTTCCTGAGCTCTACCTCTCTTGCTCCCCCGGGATTTCGCAGACGCTTTCTCCTTCTTAGACTTCTGTTGGCTTTGCCTGATGGAAGAGTTGATGGCATTTCGAGCTGCCTTCTCTGCCCTTTGTCTCCTTGCTTTGTGGTCGGCCTCCAACTTCGCTTGAAGATTTTTGACTGGCTCAAGAAATTGAATGGAGCAATCCACCTCAGTGAAGATTGTTCCAGTGCCATCATCTTTTGGCTTGCAAGCGAAGAAGTTCACTGATGACAGATCTGGCCCCTCCGCTGTCATGTAAATCCTGACTGTTTTGACACCCACGCTGAAGTAGACCTGATCAGCCTTTGTGACAGCCTTCGAATGCCAAGCAGGCACCAAGACTTCTGCCGTTTGCAGATGTTCTCCACAAGGGTGAATGTAGAAGTCGATGCCAAAAACTGAGCACACTTTGATACCCTTGGTGCCTTTGCTTTGACTGACTGGTCCCATGAAAGGTAAAATCATCTGGCTCGGCAGAGGCAGTTTGACGGTGACAGCATCCTTCTTGCCCTTGCCAAAGTCCACCAAGATGTTTTCACAACCCTTAGATTCATCCATGAAAGTATCCCACAAGGCAGCCTCCAAGCCTTTTTGGATTTGCATCACTCCTGCAGCTGAAAAATGCTTCACGTTGAGAACTCTGGCGTGATCTGATTCTTCAAATATCTTGATGCCTTTCTCAGCTTGGCTCTTGATGCATTTCTCATCCCTATAGACATGGAGCTGCTTCAGATTCATAGATGTGGATCCAGAGGCATCAGCAGCAGGGTGGTCTTCACTGCGAACTTTGCCACCATCACCTTCAATTTGAAGACCATGTCCATCAACTTCACTATCAGCTGTTTTTTGGCCACCGCTGCCGTCACCAAGACCAGGTTTCTTCGCCTCAGATGAGAGCGAATCAAATGAGCTTGGCTTGAGCTCGGCCATCCCTGTTTGCTGCCGAATGTAGGAGACAACTTCTGCGACTGAAGGTGCATTCAAGGCGTCTGCCCGAGCTTGGACCCATGTGGCAGCTGTTTGGAGTGCGTCATAGAGTACCAAGGTCTTGTATGTATCTGACCCTTCTGCTGAATCCGCAAGGTTTTCCAGCATCGATTTGACATTGGCAGAAGTTGCAAGCACCAGGTCTGGGATAGACACAGGGGCTTCCTTAAGAACTGCAAGCATGTACCTCACTCGAAGAGCTACTAGCTTCTGGATCAGCGTTGAGTTGATGAACACCTGACAAAACCGAGCGGAAGGGGCAGTCTTTTGCAGAGTCATCAACATTAATCAACATGACAACAGACTGACAGACTGTCATCATAGGATTGGATTGAAAGATTGAAAGTTGAAAGGTGCCTACCAACTATCCATTAGGCTCATAATCATGGATTTTGTGCTTAGTGACTAATGCTGTCATGTCATGTGGCTTTCCCCCTGAGACACTCTCTGACACCCCTCCCTCCCTCTTTGCTCTCTCTGTTTCCCTATTTCCCTCTAATTGAAGAAGCAACACAACACCAAAAAGTTATCATATCATATGGACTCATATGGACATGCAAAATTGAATTTATCATGTTGTGGACTCTCATTGTGACACATTGTGTCACTTTGGACTCCACCCAATCTCTTGTTTGGATTAAGTACTCTTGATGTGACTTCTACTGTAAACTGTAAACACATGAAGTCCCAGTCAAGGCCGGCTGGCCTCTTGCGTGTTCTCAGGGAAATGCCCACGTTGAGCGAAAGCAGCTCCAACATCAGACGCAAAACCCAGCCAGGGAAACGGGAGATGTTTATCCAAAGCGTCCTTGACTGTGCTCAGGACGTCAGTCAGGTCGACTTTACCTCCAGCCCTCTTCTCAGCTCTAACCGCCAAAAACGTCAGAGCACGCCTTGGCACTTCGTGTAAGAGTAAGGGTCTTGGCAGGGTCTCCTTCACGAACAACTTGACAGGTCTCACTATGCCTTCCATCTGTGTAGACATCACCACTGTAATTCACTGCAGAGTCTGCTCCTCAAGATCCAGGTTCAGTTCGGGTTCAAGTTCAAAGTTCGAGGTTCAGTTTCAGATCTACTTTTAGCTAGCCCATAGAATTTAACAAAGTCAAAAGTCATAGGGCTTTTGAGCGAGTTGAAATGTGAAATTTGGATATTGGATGACCAGAGCCAATTACTCAGGAAGTGAAGTCTAAGTAAACTGTCGGTATGGTAATGCAGCAGTTCGGTGTTCAGATTTCTTTTCAGTTTTCATTTGACTCACTAGCGCATGACAGTTGCTTCATTCATTATACTCTCAGCCCATGTCCTCCTCATCAACCTCCTCATCATCTCCGCCAAAATCAACATGAGTTGCAGCGTGACTCATGTACGTAGAAGTTAAGAGTTCTGCAAGCTCCAGAGCTGTATGCGTACGCGTTGACGTTGATGATTGTCTCTTGCCCTTGGGGTCTGTCAACATCTCTGTGACTTCCACGGAAAAGTTCTCGTTGCATTTGATGAGTATGTTCTGGAGTTCCACGCGAAGGTTGCTGTATGCACGACAATCTTTCCCATTTACACAGACTTTTCCCTGAAAGAGGAACTCCAGAAAAAATCCAATGCAAAAGCTGAACGAGCAAGATCTTTCTTTGCAAGTGAGGCTTTCCCAAGATGCTGTCAGCATTGATGGAATTGCCCCGGAATCACTGGAATCACAGCCCGTCTCAAGGGATTTGCCGTTCTTGGTAGCTTCCAAATGGTCCAAGTAGTGTGAAGCAAACTTCAAAGCTTGCAGAACCTCATCCAAGGCAGTGCAATGACGAGTATCACCCTCTTCGTCACCCTTAACCACGAAGGAGTAAACTTCTTTCTCTGTCTTGCTATACCCTGAAAAGCTGCTCTTCTTGTGGGCCAACTTGGTCTTTTTGCCCGGCTGAGCAGTGGAATCAAGCCCATCCTGGCAATCCTCGGTTTCGATGTTGTTTGCCCCTCCACTACCATCATTAGGCTCATGGCATTCAGACTGGGACTTCCGTTTCTTGTCACCATTGTCGCCACTCAAGCCATGGCCTGCGTCCCCTTTTGAGGCATCAGCATCACAAACACCAGGCTGGATGAAGACGGACTCGACCTTCCTCTTCAACTCATCAACCTGCTTCTTGGAGTCCTTTGCTGCGGAGGCTTGTTGCTTCATCATCTTCTTGGTTGCCACAGCGTTCTTCATCGGCAAATTCACCAAGTTCATAAGCGTACTTGAGTCTTGCCCTGGCTTCTCAAACACCCAGGAAAGGGTCCGCTCTCGCCCTGAGTTCAATGTTGTGACCTCAACAACGGGCACATCACGAAGGCACACACACACATAAACTGTCAGTCACATACTGTTGGGAAGGCAGGATGTATTGTATGAGCGCAATACCCAAAGCGTGACACATTGTTGTCGTGGTCATAATGGTCATACAAAGAATGAGATGCGTGCGAACCAGCCAGCACAGCACAGACTACAAGTCAAGACTCATACAGTACAATTTACAATGTTTCGGACTTGACTGCTGGAACAATAGCTAGGGACCTGACACAGTGCTTCAAAGCTTCCAAAGTGACTACCGCTTGGACTTTCTGAGGGTAGTGTTTCTTCATCGCTTCACGCAGCAGCAAGCACAGTGTGCGCATTTGGTTAGTGCACGTTTGCTGGTCCACAAACTGCCGCAAAAAGTCTACATGACCATTGGCCCTCTTGAATGATAGCTGGTTCACCACAGACCCGCGGCATGCTGTGAGCAAGGAAAATAGAAGTCCCCTTAGTCAGAGCTCTGAATTGTTTCAATATTCAATGTTTACATTTTACTTTTCCAAAAAGAGATTGGCAGCTTTGAAGCAATTAGGCCATCAGGAACTTAACTCAAAGTCCCAAATTGAACAATCAATCAGTCAATCGATGGTAGAATACCCCACCATCACAAGAAGTCTTAGAACCGCCTCAGAAGCTTAAAAGCAAGAGGTTCCAGCCACTGTCGTGTAAGTCAACCAATCACCGACTCAACAACTCTAGAATATAATATGGAACAAGACAAGAAGAAGAAGATCCAAAACAAGACTTTCCTGTGACTTTCCCGGAGACAAACTCAGGCCCAGGCAATGTGTTCTTGTAGCTTTCCCAATTCCGGAAATAGCCATGGTGGTTGGAAGAGGCCGCACGGGTCAGCACAAAGGTCTCATACAGGGATGCGTACTTGGGGTTGCTTGTAGTTACGCACATTTCGCATGCTTCTGCTTTCCATGCAGCTTGGAGCGCCAACGACTCCCCAAAGTAATCTAGGAAGGAACTGCCGCTCCCTCCATGGAATTGGTTGAGTATGTGGATCACTTTGGAAAATATGGAGTCAGGTGTGTTGTACTTCAAAGTTTGCACCTGCTTCAAGCCTCGCTCCTTGGCTGAGCAAACGTTCGGATGGTTTGGATTGCCACCATCACTGTTGTCCAGGCGGTAGAACGCCTCAGCGCGGTGATTGTATGCTCCAAGATGAACTGGTAGTTTTTCTTCCTCATTTGCCCAGCGAACCAATGCTTGGCCTCCAACCGGCAGCTGCCAAAGAACAATATCTATATATTATATTATATATATATTTAAAATACACATATAACAGTTGCCGTTCTAAAAGCCCACACCACTACACCACAAGACAATTAAAAAAAACAAGGCCAGGGCCAAGGGTGGGAAGGGTCTTGGTCTTGTATGTGTAGGGTAATTCTCAGAGAAGACACAACACAGGCTCTAATTCCGCGGAATGCTCAATGTCACTGTCTACTAGCAACATCAAACCTTGACTTGAGCTTGAACAAAATTCCCGCCTGATACAGCTTGGCTCAAACCATCCTCCACAATTTTGCGCATGTAGCACTGGACAGTCCCTTCCTGTATTGATCTGGAAAGGGGAGAGCGGACCAAAGACCTGGCCTCATTCCCGCCCAAATCTTCTGTGTACCATTCAAGTCACGCACACCATCCCCAAAGAACTCAAGGATGCTGTCAAGCAATTGCGCACCAGACATGCTGCCATAGAGCTCTTCCACAGTCACTGATGGCTTGAAAGGATCCACGCCTGTTGGCACAGGTTGCCCCGGCTTCCACCCCACAAGCATCGTAGCTGGTAGCCGGCGCAAGCGCAAAGCAGCAAGCCCAGTCAACAACCAGATATGGAATCTAAACCCAGCGTGGCGGGGGCGCTACTAAGCTGATGAAGCAAGTATAAGTATCAAATGATTCATGATAGGTTCTAGAAAGAAACATGTAACATAATTCACGTCTAATGGTGTTGAGGTGCATTCGATAATGTCCTTGGCCTAGTGAAAAACCGTTTAATGTTAGATTTACACATACAACTGTTGCCAGCATCATACCTAACATGGGTCGAGAGAGAGAGAGACTGAAAATTCTGCCAGGTTTGGCGTTGCAAATCAAGCAGTCAGACAGTCAGCACGCTGCACACACAGAGCACAAACGTCGCCCGTATAAAACAACCAAGTGTTTGAATATGAATATGATATGAATGCGTGCTTTAGCAAGTGTAGTTTGTAAGAATGTGCCATCCAATGATCCAATGACAAACTGTCATAACAGTGGACCTTTTGTGCTTGACTCACAGTGTAAAGCAGTACGGCTGTACGACTCTCAATTCAACTTCTTTCTTTGTCACGGCATCCTTTGCTTTTGTCCCCTATTGTTCTTGCCCAACCAACTTTACTGTTCTTGTTGGCTAGCCCTGCCCGGTCGCAAAGAAAAATGGAGAGTCTGAGAACAAAAGAAAATGACTAGACTAGACAAATACTGACTATTGGCCCATTGGCCACGAGGATTTCTGCCAAGCGGGCAAAGCCAAACTGTCTAGCAGCTAGACTGTACATGAGGCCTGGTAGGCCTACTCATTTACTCATGCACCGTGGACCGTGAGCATGACTCTCCGCTGCTTCAGAGAACTGCTCTCCACATTAAGATCATTTGACTTGAACTTGATGTTAGGTTGAATTCGGTTTTTATCACACCACCAATCACATCGCGAAGGACACGGCCACAGCCAGCCAAACAAACTCGACAAAAAAGCCTTCTTACAGTCTGGCAGTCAGAACCACACTGACAAAAAGGATAATAGCAGGTATTCTTAATGTTTTCTGTGTAGGTTGTGTAGGCTGTCCGGCTCAGGCTCAGGTGTGTGTGGTCGCGGGAAATCATATTATTCCCACTACAAATCCATATCCCAGATCCCACTGCCTTTCAAGCAAACAAGGCACAGACAGCAGCTTGCAGCTTCTCAAGAAAGAAAATTAAAAACAATGTGAATGTAATGTGCTTCCATAATGTTACAACTGATCTAAAAACAATCGCTTACACTTACGCAAGCATATTTAGCCTTTGAGTCTGCGCTATGGTGTGTGAACTACCCTGCTGCTTGTGCTTGGGTGAGATCTTGTCATGCACTGGACTAAAGCGCAAAGTTCCTGTCGCGTGATTGAACAGGAGGACCCACTTGAAATTTGTGGAACCGCGCAAAGGCGCAAAGGTGCAAAGTGCAAAGCTGAAAAGAAGGAGACCTGAGGATTGCCCTCATCTCATCATCTCATTCAAGCCAGCCTACTCACTCAGCTGCGGGATGCAGGTTCCTTAAGGTTCCTTGGGTTCAGGATGACTTTGGGTGATACCTGCCAACCAGAGAGATCTTGAGAGCTTGGATTGCTGGAGTTTCCTTTTCTGGCCTGCCACTGCCACAGGCTCCTTGGGCATAGCGGCTTGTCCACGAGCAGATTTGACAACAGCTGGCATGTGTTCGATCTGTAGCTGCCGAAACAAATCTGGCTGCTTTCCTCTGATTCTCCGACGCTTGTTGTGCCTTTCTGAGCAAACACCTTCCAACCACTTGCGCTTCTGCTCAGACATCAACAATCTCGACATCCGAATGTCTTGCAGCAAATCCTCGGAGCGGTGTGGAGACTGTGGAGACACGGAAACCCTTTGGGCAACCGATTTGATCTCTTGCCCTACCCATTCCCTATCCAATTACTCTGGGCGCCAGGCACCAGGCGCCTATTGTCTAGCAACTACAACTACAACCGACACGTAAGACATACAGAACGCACCCCAAAAACCTTGAAACACCACATGTCACATACTGTCACATAGCACTTCCAGGGGCACTTAGAATTCGAAGAAGGAATTGGGGAAAGGAAGAGGTACTTGACCCTGGCCTATTTGTGCTGTACTCCTACTCCTACTCAAGTTGCCTCTGCAGAATCACGTATACAGACTGAACCAAGTACCAGTACTGATACGGAGTCTCTCGAGCTAGAGAAACAATGAATACAACGCGGTTGATTGCCACTACTAAAACTTAAGAAATGAACAATGTAACAATGAACAACAACCAATACCCCATCACCATAGCAGGGAAATAGCGCCTGCCTGACAACTACATGTGGAGCACCAAAAGCGTTTAAAAACCGACTGAAACTCACTCAAGGGTTCTGGGATTGCTTGATGCTCCATGCTGACCAAGCAGTGCAGTTGCAACACCGTCATCGGGAAGGTGTGCATGCTGTTACCTGCCTGAGCTCCGATATGATGCGCACTTCTTTCTTGTCAAGGAAAATTGAAGCTACACAGCTTCGGCCCACTTGAAGCAGCAAGGTTGAAGACACCAGGTACCACAGGGAAGCCCTGTGTGGCCAGAATTTCCGTTGGAAGCATCCAACGGCTTACCTCATCACAATACAGAAGGCCGCAATTTCTGATCAATGTCGCCAAAGCCCATGGAGTTGAAGTGCTACCAAAACCACTAGATGGGTTCTGGTTCAATTGATAGACTTGGCCAGGAGTCATAGCCCTGTAAGCCTCTAGATGCTCCATTTCCAAGTTTGTCAAAGACTTGCTAACTTGCTAAACGCATATGGGTCATGATGGTCAATGCGAGAGCCATATGCCATCGAAGAAGGGCGAGTGCTGGCCCATCGAATCTCTTGAGGAGCTTCCTCATCCAAAACTCCAGAGTCATCCAGACCAAGGAAGAAGTATTCCTTCCATGTGAAGGCGCAGGCACGGTAGAAGCGCTTGCAGAAAGAAGACAGTGGACTCACCTCTGATAAGATCTTCACACGATGCTTGAGGGAGATGAACTGTCTTTCTCTGGCCTGCGCTTGACGGTTGATGCAAAACACGGGACCAAACAAACAAACACAGCTGAGTGGTTGAGTGTTGAACACAAAGAGCGCTCCACTACAGAGTCTGGCTTTTGGAGGCACACAGTTGTAATGATGATGAAGCATGGCCAAAGACTGAACCTACAGGCCCTCTATTCCTCTATTCAAAACAGATCCACCGAAGCCACCGCTCTCTATGGTGTTCAGCAGAACTTGCCTGCGGTACTCCGAAAGCACAGGCGTCGAGCACAACTACATCAAGCCAGTAAAGCCGAAAAAGGAACCGCTTCAGTATGGAGACCGGGAAGTCCTTGACATTCTCTTGAAGGATGGATGGCTCCTGCAAATCCAATCGAATGGAGATCCAGGAAAGTAGATGAACAACCCCTGGGTCTGCCAAAGACAGGCCAGCCCCCCTTTTGCTGTGTTATGTGGCGCCTAGCCACCTTGAGGGAACGCTTCCTGCGGTGCTGGTGGCAATAGGCCACACGAGTGGTTGCAGTACCTGCAGAGATCCTGCCTGCTAAGATCTCCACACTCATTGTAGGTTTGTCTTTCAACTGCTCAACGATGGGCTTCAAGTCATCTTGCCAAAATTCACTAATGTCAGAGAAAAGGCAAGGTCGCTCTTCTTTGCAAACATGGGAATCTGAGTCAAACAGTTTCAGTTCTTCTTGAGATTCAGGGCTCCACTCCACCATAAAGAGCTGTTTTGTCTTGGGAATTTCTGTTGACAATCGCTCCTCCAAACGCCAATGCAAGGCGTTTAGCGCAACTCTAGGAGCATCCACGCCAGAGAATGAAGTAGACATCGTGTCCTTCTCCATTGCACTGACAAGGTCAAAAAGTTGTCCCTTGTCCTCAAGCTCACCCAAGCAATAATCCCAGAAGTCCATGGATTCCTTCAGGCTGTGGACTACTCCTCCCTTTCTCCCGAGTCCTTCTGAGCTGCCTTGACTAGGCGTACTAGGCGTCTGGTTGCCGATGCCAACGCTTTTCTTCTCCAAAGAGTCGAGCATTTGAGGCTTGAAGTCAACCGCAACCTCGGGTTCTTTTGGCTCTTTTGACTCATGTGACTCATTTGAAGCTTTGCTCTGTGCTGGTGGGGCGGCGCAAGATTCTGCCACCTCTTGCTGCTGAATGAAGGCAGAAGTTGCACTTTGCTCTTCCTGTCCCTGCGCCTGCTCCTCTGATGCTTGTGAATCATCAAGGGCAGTGTTGGCAGTTTTGGCAGCGTCCTGACGATCTGTCAGATCTGTCTCCCCTTGAGGCTTCTGAGGCTGCGGCTGTGGCTGCAGCAAAGATGAAGCTGGAGGTGGATGAGGTGGGTCGCAAGAAGCTGTTGGTAGAACTGGTAGAACTGGCTTCACTGCTCAGGCTGCTCCAAGCTTTCATTTGGCAAGGCCTTTGGAGCAGCGCAAGGAGCAAGGTCTTGATGGTTGATCAATGAAGCAACGGCAAAGGCTGAGGATTTTGCGGATGAAGGCCCTGGCTGAGGATTCTGTTGGACAACCTTTTCTGGTTGTAGTAGTTGCGGATCTAGAGCTTCATCTTTGCTTTCACCACAATCCTCTTGCTGTTGATCAGGTTTACCACGTTTACCACGATCAAGTTCGGCGGCAAGTGAATTGAGAATCTGTCTCTCCTCTTCTGAATCAGACAACACTTTGGAATCAGCGCGAAGTGAAGCTGAGGCTGAAGCTTCTGGAGCTGCTGCTTGCGCTGCTTTTGCTGTTTCGGTTTCTGCTCGGACGTCTCCTCCTCCGTACAATGCATGTTTCTTTGCCGCACTCTCTGCCTGAGTCTGATCTTCAGTCTGAAGTTGAGCAGGCGCAACTGCATGACCATCACCAGCCTCAGCGTTGGCCTCACCCAGAGCTTGTTCTTGTTTTGCTTCTTCTCCTTCATCATCAGCCTCAGAACGACGATGGGCTGACTGCCTGGTGTTCATGAAC